TCTGCTCTGAAGATATCTGAGAGCTAAGAAAGCACTGAAGAATTATGGAGCCATCTTCCCAAAGAAGAAAATCCAGAGAAGCAAGCTCAGCATTTGGGGGTCCCTTTTTCTCACTGGGGCATTTTTAAGAAGAAATTAAGAATGTTAAAAATTATTTTGAGTTTCTTAAAGTTAATGGGAAAAGTGGAATTCAAGGACCACCAAGGGGGTGAGTTGGAACCTCAAAGGGCAACATCCTAAAGTAAAGTTAGGTTGGAAACAAGCTGGCTTTGTACGGACTGAAGGCCAGCCTTATCTAGGCCCTGGAAACACAGAGTGATACAGAATTGTCGATGCCCATGGCTGTCTGATAAAAGCAAGTGAAATTTTCTCTGGAGGAAGAGAATATAATGCAGAGCCTCAAGTTATTTCTATAATTTTTCATAATAATATCTTGTTCTCAATAGAAAAAATTAAACAAGAATATAGAGAAACAAAAACTAAAGACAATGGAAACAGATCCAGATACACTACTTTAAAATAAGTTTAAACTATTATGGAAATTTAAGATAAGATTGAGAATTTTGGCATCATTTTCTAGAAACTATAAAAAATGTAAGTGAAAATTCTAGAAATGAAAGCCTCAATGGCTGAAATTAAGATCTTAGTGGATATATGTAAAGGAGGTTAGAAAGTTTTGAGAGTGTACTAGTTACTTGTAAGATATGTAAGAAGAAAACATGCACAGTAAGGCACAGAAAGAATGAAGAAAAAAAGACAGTGTGAGATATATAATGTGTAGAATGAGGACAACATACACAAAGAGAGAAAGAATGAGGTAATGATGAAACAATAAGGCAATATGTAAGAAAATGGATGAACGTTTTCCAAACTGAAAAAATACATCGACTACAAATGCTAAGAGTCCTATAAGTAAATCCCAAGTATGATAAATAAAAAGAAAGTCACACTTTGTCACAGCATAATAAAAATTACTAAAAATCAAAAGAGAAAATATTTAAAACAGCAAGAAAAAATACAAATTAACTACAGAGAAGTACAATTAGACTAACAACTGACTTCTCAAGAGAAACATTAGACTAACAAGGAGACAGAAGACAATGAGGTATTATCTTCGAAGTACTGAATAAAAAAATAACTCCTCCATTAGGATTCTACGTCCAGTAAAAATCCTTTAAGAATGAAGGTGAAATAAATACATTATTAGAAGACTTTCACTAAAAAAAATATTAAAATAAGTTTTTCAAGGAGAAAGAAAATGCTCACATATGGAAGTTCTTATTTTCTTCTGATTTATTTGTTGATTCATTAATACCTTTTAGCTTTGTCTAATTTGTGTTAAATTCATCCACTGAAATCTAGTTTCGGCTATTGAATTTGCAATATAGTAGAAAAAGTTGAGCAAAAAGAGGTCAAATATGTAGGTAAATTTAAATTACCATTGACCTAATAACAGTAAGTTATATATAAGAATAATTGTTTTT